TCCTCCCGCAGGGATACTGAGAACCTCTTGGAAAAGGGTAAAAGGGAAATAACCTTTATGGACAGGCCTTCTAGGTTTCACAGTTTTATTAGATGGTTTATTCCTAGTCTAGGAGTAAGTAAACTAGAAAAGGCATATCAGCTACATTAGAGAATATCGAGAACTCAACTATGGATGCTATACTCAGATTGCAGAAAAAGGTATCCTCTCTTAGTTAAGTAGTATTGCAGAATAGAATGGCTCCTGATCTTCTGACGGTCAAAGAAGGAGGGATGTGCACTATAATCAATCAAAGCTGCTGTGCATATATTGACGAAACTCAAAGAATAGAAACAGATATGCATAAACTATGGAAACAAATAAAGGTGGATGATACTTCATTTGGATTTATAGAACTGTGGAACAAATTAACCAGTTGGATATTGAACTTCGTCTGGCTAAAGCAACTCTTCACAGCTTGTGTATCAAATGTGTATTAATGTGTGCTGTAATAAAAAGATATACCTGCTTTATAACTACTTTGTTGTTACGGAGTTTGATTTTCCGCAAGCCACTTCAAGGCTGCTACCATCAGGTATAGCAGGATGAGGAACGTCACAAGCATGTAACAAAGCCAGTCCAGTGCAAACCCACCCTTCAGCAGACAGCTGGATCCAGCCCCACCAACTCTGTCCCTCCAATTGCAGATGACACTGCTCCTGCTGCAGCACGGCTCCATGCCCCATCATGCAAGACAGGGTGTTCAGAAGCCATCAGGACATGTCCTGTGCCTGCTTCAAACTTAGCTGGTGCTGTCAGGTGATGAAGAACCCCAAGGAGATGGACTGGGGATCACAGCCTCTCAGGTGACTTTTTTGGTCCTTCTCTTCTGAGAACTTCAGTTCCTCTCTTTAGTGAAGGCTCCCTATGCCTCCTAGGCCTGCGTCATCAATTAATCTGCACATATCACTGAAGATTCACCTTACAATGATTATGGCCTCAGTTACAGTAACACAGGTGTATATAATGCTTACACCTCCTTATTCATTTAGTTTCTGTGCATTCTCTGAAAATAACTGTTGTCTCTAGATGAGAAAGACAGGCTGTATCCAGCTTGAGCAGTGGTGCAGACACCTTTACTCATAATTTAAAAGCATGGAAGATCTACATCAAATCTCTTCTTCTTAAAAGTTATTAGAAATTTGATTTATGAGCATATAAACCAATTCAGCAGCTGTTCATATCAGAAATTTCTGTTTGGGTTCCATACCATGCAGCTTCTACCAACACCCACAGTGTTGCCTGCTGCCAAAAAATCACTGGCATCAGCAAAATTAATCCAGCTTCTGTATATGACATAGTGTGGAAGTACCAATTGCTGTCGCTTTGAGATGAAGCCAGAGAAAGCAGAGGAAGCAGCAGAAAACAAGTCTGAAGGCTGTATATCAGCTCTCACTGATGGTCTCTGCTTTGCTTGCAGCAACCTCCAGCTGGGCATCCACCACTGCCCACTTCAGCAACACTCCCCCAGATGCCACAGGCTGCAGCACCTGCTCCTTCCAGGCGCCCTTCACAGGGCTCGCGCCACCCAGTCTGAAGTGCTGCACCAGCCACTCCTAGCTAGTTTTCTACCTCACAGTCTCGACTGCTTTCCAGCCTGTTTCAGGTCTGCACAGTACTTCAAAATCAACCAGTAAATAGTTAGAAATAATGGGGCAGCAGCTATCAACAGGGACAGGGGCAGATCTTGCTGTGCAGAGCTTCATGTTATTCTATGTATTTAAAGTCTGTACAATGACATGTTATGTTGTTGCACACCTTGAATGTTGAATAATTGTTGAAAAATTGTTGTTGAATAATAGTGGCACTTTATAGCTATGTCTTTCTGAGAAAGAACACAACACAGGACATCTTGCTTCTAGAGAAGGTATGTTCTATGTGAATTCCAGAAGCTACAGAGAACAGGCACACACTTCCAAACAGCAGGCCTCTATGTCTGGGATAATTTTTGGTACAAAATAACACTGGGATGTGTTACTAATGAGCTACAGAACTTTTCACTTATTGGCACCGCCTGGAGCTGGAAACAGCAAAGCAAAACAGAACAAGTCACTTCTATGCGAGTTCAGCATGCAGCTATTTCAGATGCAACATGAAAAATAATTCATAATGCAAAGCAGAAGATAATGAAATCTCCATTGCATCTTCCAGCAAAAACAGGGATAAAATTTATTGCCCTTGAGAGAAAGGATTCAAGATTTGGGAGGAATAGCTACCACTGTGCGTACCTGTAAGGCTGGACACAGAGTTGAGACCAAACAATTATTTCAAGTGATGTTCTAGTAAGTTTTTGGGTGTTGTCACCACATTACAGTATACTCAGATTTGGGAGCTTCTGGCACAGGCAGTAGTGTCTTCTGTTTCATCTACATGTAAACCACATGACCACACTTTTAGCAATAAATTCTTCCAAAAGATGAAGAAAATCTCCATTGCTAATTGATTTTAGCAACACCACAATGATTCTATCAGTGACAACAGTAGGTCTCAAAACACACATGCCCACTACAGTTATCACAGGATCTCAGAGATGGAAAAAATACTGGTAAGTGCTTTAGATATTATCCTCAATGACTCGGAGTTGTTCCTGACTATATGATACTGAAAATTGTCAATCTGCTGATAAGAACAACCATAAAACCTGGAAGCAGTAACAATAACAAAGAGATGGGATTAGAGCCTTAGGGGAAGAATTTTTCCCACTGAAACTGTCAGTGGTAAAATAAGCAGTAACAGTAACTCTTAAACAATTAGTGGAACTCAGTGATTCTAGCAGATCCCTTCCAAGCCAGGATATTCCACGATTCTATGATTTTGCCCAGTTCTGGTTATCACTGGTCTTCAGACATCCAAGACAGCACTGAACAATTGTACATTGACCTGTTAGCCAGTCCACTTCTTCACTTGCAATTCTGTGAATACGAAACCCATTTAACTGCCAAAGTAGAAAGAGCTTGAATATAGCAGAGAGAATCACTTTCTTTGCCCTGAACTTACTCTTATCAAAGAGAACAGAGGCAACATCTCTCTGTGTCCTATAAAAATTTTATCAAGCACCCAGCAAACATTCACAAAACAATTGCCTGCAGGAACCTCATCAGCAAGCAGTTTATTCCTCCTTGCCAACCCATTAATAGTGCTAGTTCAGGTATTAGACAGCTTTCCAACAGTTTCACCTGCTGAAGAGGGCAAGGAGACCCAGCAAGCATCTCGAGGCAGAGCTGCTGCCCACAGACAAGCAGAGCCACAGCAAGCCCACCAGACCCTCAGCTCCCAAGGTGAGAAGGGAATAAATGCCCCAGGAACTCTCAAACCCACCTGCTGCTGCCACACCCTGTCACAAGCCCCTCTCCCACAGTGCTGGAGAAACTCTGGGTATCAATGTTCAGTGCTGAAGTGGTGGTGATGCTGCCCACCTAGAAATGCACTAAAATGCCAGCTGGCACAGGGTCTCAGCCATGCAAGTTGAGGACAAAAAGCAGTATTACAGCTGAGCAGAGCTAGAGGCTATGGTCAGAGGAGCTTGCTCATCACCACTCACATGTATCTGTTCCATGGCAGAAGTGTGCACATAAGAGAAAGCCTGTGCTCTGCTCCTCTATTTCCATACTTTTGTCTTCCTTTATCACCTACTTGGACTAACTGCAATATTTTCTGTATCAGAAATTTTAATTTTAGTTCTAACACAAAATTTCCTTGTGCCAGCTGTCCTTACTTTGGGAGTAGACCACCACAGCACATTCGCACATCACTACACAGCACCAATACACAGCGTTTGTGTAACATCACACTCCAGTAAGATACAGCTGGATTTCTGATCGAGATTTTTGAGAAAAGTTACTCCCCTGTAGGTCCATAAAAGATGTTGAAGCAGTGGTCACAACAGTACATCCTACAATTTCTACTGAAGAACCTAGATTTGGTCATCAGTGGATCTAAGATACCAGACTACAGACTACAACACTCTGAACTGCCACAAGCATACAATTCAAGCTGCTAGGCCAGGCTTCCTGCTAAGAAAGATATACAGAAACAATTTTCAGAAAGTAAGACAGAAGTTTAAACACACTCCTTTCAAACAGCTTTAACACAAGGAGTACGTCCCTTTCAGTAGGGCATCCATGGTAAAAAAAAAAAAAAAAAAAATTACAACTGGAAAACAAAGACAATATCAAATGTTAAGATACATAAATGGACCTTTTTTGATACAACTTTTAAAAGACAGAAGGAGAACCTACACAAACGTACAGATAACAAAACAAAGTCTGCAAAGACAAGTTTTCTTCAGTCTTCACACAGTTAGTTCAAAATGTATCTAACAATAGCAAACTATCAAGCAGAAGTGCCCACAGCGCAGGAAATGAGGGCATCGCTTCTCATCTGACGACATTCATGCACAGAACGCTCAGGAACTTCTGTCTGGAATGTCATATTCTGAGAAACAGCACGGAAACTAGAACTAGAAAGGTTACTTTCAGGGGCCTTCTCATCCCCCTTTCTTTGATTCACTTTCTCAAGGAAAGAAAAAAAGGCGTTTGCCGAGCGCAGCACCAGGCCGGGCACGTCGATCCGCCTTCCTTCGCGTATCACCGTGCGTTCGGCACGGGACGGCTCGGCGGCCCAGGCAGGAACGGGAACGGCAGCGGGTGAGACGGGGCAGCGCCACAACCAGCCCTACAGCTCCCGCCTGCTGCCGGCCCGCTTCGGTGCGAGCTGCCGCGCGTGAACAAGGGCCGTGAGCACCGGGAGACAACGGCCGCCGCGGTGTTTCAGTTCACGGACGCACTTCCATAGAAAGGTACTCGGGAGCCCCACCGGCGCAGATGCTTGCCGCGAGGGCTCGGTACCTTCGGCCGCTCCAGCCAGCACCGGGGCTTCTCGGCAAGCATTCCGCTCCGGGCGCGTACCTCGGAACCGCCCGCGGACCCTCCAGCCTGGCGGAGCCGGAGCCCGACCCCTACCTGGGTCGTGGAACGGCACCAGGGCGAAGTTGTAAAGCGGCCTCTTGGGCCGCTTCAGCGACGTCTCCAGAATCTTTGACGCCCCCTCGATGACTTGCACCAAGTCGTCGTACATGGAGCCGGTCACGTCGAACACGAAGGCCAGCGTGGAGGCTCCCTCCGGGACCGCCTCGGCACCGGACTCCGGCGCGGCGCGCGAGCTCAGGGCGAGCAGCAGCAGCACGGCGCCCAGCACCGCGCCGGGAGCCATGATCAGCGGGAAGGGGCTCCGCTCAGCGGGGAACGCAGAAAGCGCCGCAGCTTTTGTCTGAGCGCCGCGGCAGCCCCGCTCCGCCTTTCTTTTATCGGGCAGGGCTGGGGCAGCACCGCCCCGAGGGAGAAGGCCGGGCCGCCGCTAAGCCGCGGGGCGCGACATCGGAGCAGGCACCCGGCCCCGCCTCCCTGCCCACCGCGGCCCCGACTCTCATCTCACCGCCCCTAGCGAGGCCGCCGTCAGTAGGCCGGAGATGCCGTGGTGAGGTGCTGGAACAGCTGCCCAGAGAGGCTGTGGATGCCCCGTCCATCCCTGGAGGTGTTCAAGGCCAGGTTGGATGGGGCCCTGGGCAACCTGGACCAGTATCAAATGTGGAGGTTGGTGTCCCTGCATGTGGCAGAGGGGTTGGAGATTCATCATCCTTGAGGTCCCTTCTCACCCTGGCCATTCTGTGATTCTGTGAGCTCCGGCAGGAGCAGGGCGGCCGGGGCAGCACGCTGCCTTCCAGGCCTGGTCTGTGCCTACACCTGTGGGAGGGGCACGGGTGGCCGAGTTGCCTCAGCCACGGCCCTAGGCCCTAGGCCCTAGGGCAGAAGAGCACATAGATGATGTATGGATGCCTCAACGTGAGGCTGCAAGCTCTTCTCCACATGCCGTCATCTCTTGCTGCCGTCACGTTTCCACTAATGCTGCCCGGCACCTGGACCTCCTGGTCCAGACTGCACATTCCCCTGGTGTATGGAACCTGTGTTGAAGTAATGAGTGAATAGGGCAGCACAGACCCCAGGACACAGGTGCTTCAGGCATCCACTGGGCTGGACACGACGGAAAGCGAGCAAATAGCACAGTGCTTAACCCCACTCTGCATCTGGCCAGCAGCAAGGAGACTTAAGGCCAGTTTTTTCAGAGCTGCTTAGTTGTTTGAAGATGTGGCCTCATCCCAGTAGGCACATAACCTTCTCCTGAAAACCTGCTCCTCAGTGGCAGCCCAGCACCATGTGAACAGGTGCTGCGACCTGGCTCCCTGTGGCCACCCTAGCCAGGCAGGCTATGGGCAGCACAAAGAGCAGGAGAAACATCACATCTCTGGCCTTCATGGAACAAGGCAGGAGGCTTCCTACCGTGTTTGGTGTGGTGGGGAATGTTAGGCAATGCAGTGGGATTTATCTCATTAGCTCCCCTCTACTCTATTCCATAAACTGCTGCTGAAACTGCGCACTCAGACCATCATATTGTGACTGGAAAATTAATCATGTTGAAACATTGCTTATCCTAATTAAGTTATAAGCCTGGAATTGAATTATAAAAAACAGATGTTTACATTCTTTCTCCTCACTGATGTCATGAGAAGAAAGCACAGAGCCAGAGCTGTGCAAAGCATTCACAATAAAACTCCAAACCATGGAAAGCTCGCCTCATCTACGCTCTGCTAACAAAAAAACTCAGGCTAGGTTTGTGAGAATATTCACAGATCTTGTGAGGAGAAATGCATCTGAGCCATAAAGTGGGAATATGTATTTTGAACATTCCAAGGACCGGCAGCACTCACATGTAAAGATTTCACTCAGTCCTTCTTGAAGATGAATTTCTGTTCATTTTTCCTGATTAAGAAGGCTTTTGTGTTCTTCTGTCTTAAATTATTTCTCATTTTGATGTAAACAGCCTAGGACAAACTGATACAGCATCTCTACGAAAAAGTAACCCTTTGACACGTAGTGCTGTCTCCCTAAAAATATGCCATTTAGCATGAGTTTTAAAGTACAGCACAAAGAACAATAAACCTCACTTTTGTAATGGTGGAAATGATATTTATTTTAGTTGCCTAACACTTTCCGCTATAAAGTATTCTTGAGGTTTGGAAGCTCTGACACCATTATTCACAGCAAGCTTTTAAAATTTGCAGGAAGAGAGCCCTGCAGTGAGAGAAATTATTCTCTTTCTTTCTTTCTTTCTTTCTCCAATGACATGATTTCCAGAGCTCGCCAAACAACCACCTGCAGAAGAAAATCACTGTGTCCTCCTCTGCCTGATGGCCCAGGTTTAGGCTGCATCATGGCAGTGCACTGTGATCAGAGTGCTTGGGCACAAGGGCTGGGTGTGGGCCCTAGGTGGGGGGTGACAGACAGACAGACAGACTCTGTGCGCCATGGTATGCCTCAGGGCCAGCAGCCTGGCTCTGCATGTCCCCTTGTGCGCTCTGCTGTCACGGACGTCTGTGGTGTTTGGTTCTTAGCTTTGAGCATTTCCAGCGTACCTAACTTCAACAGTATTTTCATGCCTGATATGAGGCTGGAATTAGATATTTTGTTTACACAGTTTGGTAGTGCAGAAAAATGTAGCTGTGCAGAAGATCTGAACCCAATTTTCCAGTTCCTTCCTCCTACACTGACACACTGTCACTTTGTGAGCAAAGTGCTTGCGCGTGGTAAGCAGATAAATAACTGTCCAGAGTAAGTGTACATAAGGTGAGGTGGAACAAAGTGCTCAGCAATTTGACTCCTTTCTCTCTAGCCTGTCTCAAGTATAAAAAGCCTAAAATTTGTTCACTGTGGAAAAATGTACAAGTTCAGAAGACTGGGAAGGAAATAAAGCACTTCTCACCTTTTGGGCCTTTGTTTCAATCTGCTCCATTTTACAACATACGGCTAACAAATGCCACTATCTAATAATGGTTACACAGAGGCAGTTGCTGGTTTCAGTCCAGTGCAGAGTAAACAAGCATGCATTTCAAAAACAGAAGTTTTTATCTGAAGAATATCAGAATACCAGCATTTTTAACACTGATGCTACTCTAATTACAGAGCAAGCTGCTTACACCAGGACAGATGCTGGGATCCTAAGGTCAGCTCTCAGAAGCCTGCACTCACCCAAGCTCATTCTCACGACATCTCTCAGGACAGCAAGCTCTGCATGTATCCTAGATACTCCATGTTCTTTTATCACAAGTGTTTAACAAGATTTCCTCTGGATGTCCATACACATCAAAACCTTTTTTCCCCTCCTTCTCCAAGTCATATCACTCCACACATGCCTCTCCCCCCTTTTCTTTTTGCTTTCTTTGGACTTCATTAATTGCTGAGGAGGAGAGAATCTTTGCGGTTTGTTTTGGGTATATGGTGTTGGCACTCTCTGTGAGAAGTATACATATTGTATAGTAAGAGCTGTCCAGTTCACAGACAGTTTCCTTAGCCAGTCTTTAACCCTGGCTTTGTATTTTATGTATATTTACTCTAATCACAGGTATGCTGTATTTGTCAATGATACTCACTGCTCTAAAATTGTGTCCAGCTCTGCACTTTGAAAGAGTATGCAGGCAGAACTCAGGATGCCTTGGGAAGGGATGGAGTTAAAATGCCATCCCAGAAAAAGGAATGCTACTGAAGGAATTAGCAGGTATGCAAGAAACCAGGTAGCTGCTCCCTAGAGCTGCTTCTAATGCTAAAGATCATGTCTGTGGTTATACATGGCAAAATCTTCACATTTGCGCACAAAGACCATGAGAAGCCTAGCACTGCCTCCCAGGGGAGATTTTGTGATGTGAATGGCATTACATGATGAGGGTTCAGACTCCAAGTGATAAGTAAACACTGACCTCTGCCAATCAGTGACCACTGCTTTGCAAGCCAGGCAACTGGTCTCAAACTGAGAGGGCATGGTCAGCACTGCTTTTCTCTTTCCTCTCTGCAACCAAGTCATTTTGTCCTGCCACATTACTGTTTTATCACAGTAGATTTACATATTCCTTTAAGATTTCTTTGCCAACAATATAAAACTTATGACAATATAAAAAGTGTAAGTTTTGTTTGACTTCTGGCTTCTGGATCTTCAGAAGGGTCATGTATTGTAGGTTTTCTCCAAAATCCATGTCTAGAAACCACCTGCTTTTGTTAAGAAATCAAATCTTGGGATTCTAGTATGACCACCTGCTTGTAGGGATAGATGCTTTTGAATGGAGTAGTGAATAATACAGAGTTTGAAGAACTGCAGGTTTCAGATCTGCACTTTTCCAAAAGATTTGTTTGAATGTGAAATCAAGTTAAAGGCTGTATTTATTCCTTACTCCTGCCCTTCAGGTATCGGCACAGACAGAAGCTGGATTCAGAACTGTTCGGATCTATGACTGAATTCTCATCATCCATTACCTTATGGTTACTGCTTTCTTTTAAAACTCAGTCTGCATCCAGAAATGTTGGAACTATTTACGTCTTGGATAATTAATGCTTTACAGCAGTATTGCAGCAGACAGGTAAGTGCTAGCAATCCTACATGTTCTGCAAGCATTTCTAGATGATGGACAGCTTCCAATTTAAAAACCAGAGATTTTTAAAGTACCCCATGTTCTATCTTGTAATGAAGCAAAAAATTGAATGGAGATAATTTCTTGCCATTTTCAACTTCCTTTCTCTTTTACAGAAGTTTAAATATTTGGTTCACAGCTCAAAACCTTTCAGAATATCATGACGTAGAGCAAAAGATATCAATACAAGGAGCAAATAGCAATAGCAACTGGAACATTTTGTTTAATAAAATATCTGCCTCAGCCAAGAGACCATTTCACCCTGGTGCAGAACTGAATCATCTTTCATCCACAAGATAAAATTGTTTTGGTTTTGATTATAAAACATTTGCTTTATAAAACAGGCCATCTTGTGATTAGGACATAGAAGTAAATGTTGGGCTGAAAGCTTTGTTGATACAATATTGATAAAAGCTTTTATCAATAACGTATCAAGAGTAGGACCAAGCTACAACGTGCTGTGCAATTTCCTCATTCAAGTGGGAAAAAAAAAAGAAGACAAAAAAAAAAAAAGAGTAGACAACGAATGGAGAAACAGAATAAACAAAAGTATGGGGCCTGTTCCTAATGGGCAGGGCAGTCAATCTCCTTTCTGAGCACAACATACAGTGCATATATCACCAGTGTGTCCTTAAAAAATCTGTAATTCTCAGCTCTTTAATTCCCAGCTTACAAATGAGGAATGAAAGCAGCTCCTCAA